TCTAAATGTCGAGCTTGCAAGAAAAGTTGCATAGGACAGAGAACTGGGAAATATTCAACACGGGGCCAGAAGCAATGAGAATTTTATATTTGACAAAGCATTCTGGAAAAGTAAAGTACAAAAAAAAAGAGGTCCTACAGGAAAAAATTCTGGTAAGGTAAAAAGACCTCAACACCATATCTGTTTGAAGGTGTATGAAAAAGGTTGACTTGCAGCAGAACTACAAGTATGGGTTTAACATTGGTTTAAAAAAACAGTGACATTTTTTTCAAATATAAGGGACAATTTGCAGAAGTAAACTGTATTTGAACAATGGTTCAGTCAAACTCCTTAATTTTGAGTTTTGACTAAAGGATGAAGCCTTTGAGTTCATCGACAAACTCAGTTGCTACTGTACCCTCTTCTGCAGTCTGAGTCTTACCATCTGAACACTCTGCAGGCAGAAAAGAAAAATCCCAACTCCTGACATTAAACAGAAAGAAATTATTCTATATACATTCCATATACCCTTTATGTTTTCCCTGATAGGCAAATGATGCATGGTACTAGCCAAAGTACCCTACGGTTGTGGCTCAATGTCAAGCCAGCTTCAACAGAACTGCCAGCTTCACGTTTTGCCATCTACTCTGCCCTGGCTATGTCTTCTGTCCTCTTTGCCGCAGCCAAACAGTCCTTCAGGAACTGCTGTTTGCTTGTTTGCTTTATTGCTCCAAATAAATTCTTCAGTGGTTCAATGATCCAACAGTTCATAAACCTCTGTGTTGGCACCATGGATCTGACAGTGGGGTCAACACCTGCACAGAGTGGAACCAAGAAGTGGGGATACAGACCCAGCACTGTTGCCAAATTCTCCATCTTCTCAAGCCACACCTCGAGGATATATCCATTCACTACATTTTGCTCCATAAAATAAACTACCTGTGTACGTTTCTACATGTAATATCTTGCAGGAGGCAAATGGTCACACTCAGACTGAAATTACCATAACTACTCCTGTGTTTCAAGCTAGACATGTTCAATCAAGCATGTTGCTGATCAACGTATCAACGTACCTATAGATCCCATATACTTCTGCACCGATAGTTTTCTGCACCATCCTGGAGATTGCTGTGAAGCAAAAAGCTTAGCAAAGCTAAGCTGGAGACCATTAAGTCCTGTTAAGACTGAACCTGCTCTTGAAAGCCCAGACAGTTCCCCAGGTCTGTGCCTGCCTCCAGGCAGCTGCCTACCATGTGTTCAGTTCCTCACTTTGCTGCCTTTCGCTTCCCCCCTCCACCAAATACACTCAAATTCACCTCCAGGAGCCCATTATATTCCTTCCACAATATCTATATGGGGGAGACCCAGGACCTGTTAGTTACCTGCCCTGCCTCAAACCAGAGTTGAAACAGCAGCTTATTAGTATAAGAGAATTTTTCTGTTATACACAGAAAGACAAATTCCATGGTAAGCAGGCAGAATTAAAGGCAAAGTAATACTTTACATTTATTTGAGGAACTGAATATAATTCATATTTGCAGTGACTTTGCCCTTTCCTTCCTTGTTTATCCTTATCAGTTGTCCTTTGCTGTATGTTAACACTGCAAATTCTTGCAGCAAAAATGACAGCAACTGTCTTTTTTAATATATATTGAACAGTAAATAACATAACAAAAGCCTTAAGGTATAATTGCAATACAAAAAAAAAAAGGGTACATATACATGGCAAACTGCCAAAATATGTTTTCACAGAGAAAAATATTTCACTTTCAGATGAATTATACCATAAAAGGTAGTGTTAGTCTATCTTGGAAAGGTGAAAAGTTCGAGGTTGTCCTGTTTTGATCTCTCAGTGACACAAAGGGTAATTTCAAAACCTTTCCATCATTTTTTTCTAAAAAAGATACAACTGGATTTTTATGATCTTAAAATACTACATAATACTACATACAAAATCCTTGCAACTGTAACTATCAAGTGTTTTAAAAATAATTGCTCCTTTTTGTTTCCATCCTTCTCTTAAAGCCAACCACATCAGTGGACTCATGCTGTACCGTGCATGAACAAGTCAGAAAGTATAAATAGTTGAACATGATGCTTCAGAAATTTTCTGCACTGAGTGCAAGATCTTCAGCCCTAACTTGAATCTGACATTCCCTACACTTTCAGGACAGCACTTTGGCTCACCATCTACATCAAGACTCCTTCTGTACAAAGAACCATAGGGATGGTGAATATGTGCTTTTTCTGAAAGCTAGCTAAAAGTTGTGCCTGCTAGAAGAGATGCTATGGTGCTTATTGCAGCAGCGTTGGGACACACTGTACGGGTTCAAAGAGAGCCCAGATTCCCCCAGGCACCTTGTTGCTTATTACTACGGCCCACTGCCATCGTACAGTCTATCCATATTTGATGACCTAACATACCAGAAAGGCTCCCTGACTAGTTATCTCAAGTGGTTTGTAGGCTGAAGAAAAGCTGTTCTATTTCATATGTGGAGAGACTGGGATAAGAAAGACTAAAACCAGGGTAGCCTGAAACTTTCTGTTAATATTCTGTTCCACTTACAAGAAAATCTGATGTAAATATTATACCGACCCCATGAAATATAATCTGTTCAAATCACTTGTAGCTTCGTTACCTATGTTAAATATGAATACGCCAAAAGATTGTCCCCAAATTCTTGACTATAAGCAGTGAACCGCTACAGGTTCCCTCAATAAGTTTATAGAGAATGCATTAATTTCTTCCATTGTGTGACATATATACACAGGAGATCAAAATAAACATTTTACAGAAACCCCAGTCACCGAGGTTAAACTTATACATTGACGTTTCTGAAGCTCATCCATAATTGCACATTTAATAATACTGTTCATAATTATTTCAGTACTTCCGCACATGTAATTACAGCCCAAAGCAGATAAATGAGAGAGTAATAATTCTATTAATTGTGTGATTTTCATAAAAGGATTTACAAATAATAAGCAGCTCCCCAGAGAATTGTCTACTCCTAGATCTTAACTCCATTCACAAAGGAAAGTATCGGTATTACTCTGAAGGTAGGGAAACTGAGGCTCACAAGAGAACAGGGATTTGCTCAGTGACACGTTGCTGAAGAGGAGCAGAGGTAGGTGGGGAACTCAGCTTCCTTTGCTATCGAGCCTCTAATCTGTAGGAGAAACCCCTTTGTGAGCACTGGTACAGTCTAACAACAAAAAGGTATGCATAAAAAGAGAATACTTGTTTCTTTGTCATTTTGAGATGATAGCTTTTTACACCACATACACAGCGAAAATTTTATCCTGAATGTTTAAACACAATCAAGGCTAACATATCCACCAGCAAAGAACCTCCAGGCTAGACACATGCTACGTAACCTTGGAAAAGCAAGCAGCTACTTCATCCATTTGACTGGCTGAAGAACAAAGCTTTGGAAACGAACTCTCTGAGCACTCTTATAAAGGGCTGGGAGATGAAAAGTAAAGCCAGTAACACAGAAGCCTTTTGAAGCACCTACGGCTGTGGACTTCAAATGCTCACTGACATGCACTGATATAACTAAACGGGTCATTTAAACTAAACTGAAACCCTGGCACTCACAATTCCACGTATATGGATGAAATTATGAGTGGTGGGGAAGGGGAAAGCAGCACTGGATGTACAGTTCGTAGGTAGGCCAAGACATTTTCTATCTAAACCAAACCTTGGATTCAAGATTTCAATTTTAGATTCATGAGAACAAATGTCACTAAAACTAAATTATTTATGAGTAAACTAATAGCACTGAAATGTTTCACCTTATTTTTTCAAACAGCTAAGCAAACTATGCTCAATTATTCACAGGCTGTTGCTGCTCATGCACCCATCAGAAGTGATTTAGATATTTGTCTTCATTTCATACAGTCTTTAGAGGTAAGAGTAAGCAAACAAGAGAGAAATGTCTAGACACTATTTTTTTGCATACTATTGCAAATAAACCCAATTCTGTCTTGTGAAATCACTGTCAAGATTGAAAATCTGCTCCATGCAGATATGTGCTAACACTTGGGTCTCCTCCTGCCCTTGCTGATGTCAAGCAAAAGTTAACTTACCTAAAATATCAGTATAAAGGACCTGTTCTAGGTCCCCCAGCATTGTTATTATGACATCTTCATCCAGATGTGCGGTCCCTTCACGCAAGCAGCCTTCCTCCTCCTCCTCTGCCCAGGTCCTGCTGGGGAAACAGGATGGGCAGGATGCATTTTCATCATCTGATTTTCCCCTCTCTTCATTGTCAATCTCGAAGCCTTCACCTGTATGTGGGTCTCCTGACCTCCTGGACGTCCTGCTTCCAGCAGGTGGTACCACCTGAAATGCTTGGGGTGTGGTGAGGCTGGAGTGGCAGAGAGAGTGCACCGACTGCGAGAGCGCCTTGGAAAGGGAGCCTCTGCTCCCAGCTTCTGCCTCCTGCCGATGGTAACTCTGGCTGGACTTGGAGGCGTTTCCAAACCAGTTCTCCCTGTATGAGTATCGCCTCTTCTCCCCTTCGCTGATGAGTGTGAGATTGGTTAGAGACTTCTGCTTCTGAAGACGAACACACCCTCTTCTAACCTCCTTGCCTTTGAACACTGACAGTTCAGCAGATCGCTGCATCTTCCCAGCTAGGGCTTTACCTCAGTGGGATTTCATATTTCTGAGACGGACAGCAGTTCAATTGTCCCGAAAGGTCTGGGAGGTGATCCCTCCGGCACCGCACGCTGCACATCCCAGGTAGCACATACTCGCACTCGCAATGAAAAGCACAGCTCAAACATGCAGCATACGTACTGTAAATGACTAGGCAGGCACAGTCATTTTCTTTAAAATTACGCTGCTGTCTGTGCTAAGCCACTTCTCTCCCGTCACATTAATCTGCAGTACTTACAGTCATTTTCACTTGGATTTCTCTCAAGCAGAAGAGAATTGATCAAACACTCTGCTCCAGCACAGAAGTAATCCCAAAAGCCAACTGTGTTTTCCCCTCTCCATCCAATCACCAGTCTCATCGGAGCGGTGGGCCTGCATCTCTGTCTACAGCTGCTGCCTTCTGAAATCCCAAGTAGGCACAAGTGCTGTCTCGGGCTTTCCTCCCTCCTCTCACCGGATCATGACTGATCCCGGTGCGCGGCTCTTCACTTTCGATGGGCTGACACAGAACTGCAAGTACAGCCTCCACGTCAGAGCGCAATAAAGAGCCAAAATTAACCACTGAAGCAAAGCTCTGCACAAGCCTCCTTACATTTTAGTATTCAACCTGCATTCCCAGATATATGACTCTTCTCTGCTACTGCAGTGAATGCTGCTGGCTGCCATGGCAGCAAACATCCTGGTGAATTAAACCGGAGACACAGAAGCCTCTGCCCAGTTTACAGTGCCACAGGTTTCCAGACACAGCTTCACCTGAATGGGATGCTACACTAACAGACCTAGCTCACAGTCAAATCCTATTTTTCCTCCCTGAAAGGTAAGGACGGCAAACTATTTCTTCCATATCACTGCTACTCCCTGTGCAGGAAGCTAAAAGCAGATTTGCAAATGGATCTTCAGTCTTGCAATTTCTCTTCTAATAAAAAGAATATAATTTAAGATCATAACCTATAAAATGGAATACAACAGTACCTACACAGTAAGGATTAGAAAATGATATATTTAATTTCTTTCTCCTTAAAATATACCTTGTTTGCTAGTATGGAATTAAAAAGCTGTAATAAAATAATTGTTTCACAATCTTCTAAAAAAACCCCTATTAATGGAATAGTAAATTTTTTTTAAAGCAACTCAATATCATGCCTGAACTAAGTTCACCAGTTGTAAAAGTTGTTTTTAAATACATTATCAAGACAGAAAGACTTATGTTTAAATATATATCTTTTTTTCACAGGGAAAAAGATATGAGTCCCAGAAATAATAGACAGATAAACAAAGAACTAGCAGAATTGAATTTTAATTTTTTAGATACAAACTTTTTATCTGGGGCAATTAATTTCATGAAACATTAAGTAGAAATCTACAGATATTAAAATTACTGTATAACAATATACTGCTTTTGTCAGTGTGAAAATATGGTGATCTCAAATCCCTACCTGAGAAACCTTGACAGGGAAGTAACCTTTATAAATGCCACACTAAGAATTATAGACTGTTTGCAGATTTCCTTTATGAATAAAGAGGTATTAACAGAAGCCTCAGTGTACTTCTTGGTTTTTGCTGGCTCCGTTTACAGTATTTAAAGATATATAAGGGAATAAATACATAGGAGAAATTCCTGAGAAATTACAAAGGAAGGGTATAGTTTTTCCTAAGTAACTCTCATAAACAGAGAACAAATCCAGGAAAAAAATCAGTCTCAAGCAATGATGGTTTCCATATTAAATCACTGACACATTCCTAGAAAGACAGGGTCCACAATAAGAAGAGATACCACTCCCCTCCCCGCCTGGCCCAAAAAGTCAGAGGAGACAAGAACACCCTGTCAGTCTGAATACAATATCATCCCAAATATTAAATTTCTGCCACTTCTTCAGCACAGAAACAAAAGGCATGACTGCTGTGCTCCTAGGGTCTGCCAGTTGCAGTGGCATATGTGTCCTTGGAAGTTTTTTATGAAGGTGCTGATGCCTGCCAGCAGCAGAAGCCGGCACACTGGTGCACATGCTGACGTGGCCCCGGCTGAGGAGCTGGAGTTCCAGCACCGCCCGCCTCTCCCGCATCCATTGCTGTGTTTCGAATGAAGACAAAGGACAGGATTTGGCCCTCGGCAACACTGCGGCGCAGTGGCATCAAGTGAACAGGATCTTTTCCTACCATAAACAGCAAGACCGAATCTCTCCCCAGTACTCCAAATAAATGAATGATCACTTCCTCACCTGCCCTTTCAAGCCTAAATGGCTACAGTCAGTGGCCTGCCTCCATGGTCAGCCGTAGGCAGGGACAGACCTGCTCTGCCTCCACGCCAAGCTCACAGCGTGCATGCCTGCTCATATGTAGCAGTCATTCCTGCAGTGCTGTACATGCCCCCCGAAAGCCCTGCGGGCAGGGTGTACTCCCTTGTGCTAAGCATTGCTCTGCTAAGGAAGCAATGCATGGTGTGGCCACTCAGCTCTGAGCATGAACAGACTAGATACAAGACTTCTAGAACCGGCCAGGTATGTTTAGTCTTCTTTCCAGCTGGGAGCAGAAAAACCTATGGCAGGGGATGAAATGTCTTCATCCAATAAGCCATGCCAAACCTCATGTATGGTGTTGGCAATAGGTTCCCCACCACTCCAGGCTGGAAAGATCTCTGGTAGGGGTACAGCTGGGTCCTGGACAACCAAATGGGTCTCGGTGTCTCTGCTGACTTGTTTCTTCTCCTGCATGAGCTATTCACTGCAGCCTAGCTCCAGCAGGACACAGACCATCATCCAGGCATGGGAATGGCATCTGAACTGTGTAGGAGTCTCGTGAGGGTAGCTGGGAGCTCCAGCATCCACCTGTCTCCTTTCCTTTTCTACATACATTATAAACACAATGAGCCAAGTGCTGGGAAATGGAGGCACTGAGGCTGCTCACACAACCTTCATTCAGCCTTTGCACGTACAAGCACAATACTACCACCCTTAATTACAAGATTATTTGAACTTTTCTCCCATTAATCCCACTGTCTCGTTTAGTAGACAGGCCATCATGATCATCCTCAGATACGGCAGATACATACATACATCTTGAACCAAGTGCTCGGCACAAAGAACACTGAATTTGTCCTTCTGCTTCACCACATAACTCTGCAGGGTGTCATTCGACAAAACATGAAATTGCAATTTGGAAAATTCTCAGGTTTATTTACTGAAAAATACGTTTGTAAAGCTCATTGCTCTGTTTTAAACTTATGAAATGTAGCAACAAGCAAACAGCTTTCTAAACTAAGCAGACAGTACAGCAGACTAGAGGAGAGCAAATGTCATGACAGAGCATTATTCCCCAACTACCTTGCAATTCAACATATTCTCCACCCACTGCCCACAAATAGGTTTAAACCAAGAACAGCACAGGGAACTTCCCCAACCCATCACAGTCAGTGTAACATATTACCTTATTTTTACTGTCTCTTTCATAAAAGGAATTATAAAAATGATTTTAGAAACTAATTATCTAGGGACAAATTTTGCTGTCAGATAAGACCTTCTTTGAAGTCTCAGTGCATAGTTTGGAGCCTTACAAATGAATTATGCAATAGATCTGCAAATGCAAAACATTATGAATCTCTTCAGCCAAGCTTATTTAAAAAAATATTGTAAACTATTTTCACCCTATTATCTATTTCTTTCACAGACCAAAAAAGAAGAACAGTAAACATGAAACCTCGAAAATTGAATGTTTTTGTGCTAATCCTGCCATTGATATTGGTCAATAATTCTTAAAATTACTCTTTCATTTCTGCCTCATCCCACCATTTTTTTTATAATTAGTCAATATTTGTAAATTCGTGAATAATAATTTAATCAAACACTTCACATCAAGCTCTTTGAACATGTAAACACTGGTTAAAGCCAAACACTATCTCTGATTTCATAAAAAAATACTTCATAGTTACTGTACAGTTTACAATGGATTATTAAATAATTAACTTTCTGACGTCCTTCCCCAATAAACTTGCAGCAGAGACTGATAAATGTCACAGCTGCTACAAGTAGGAATATTGGTTAAGAAAGTGTGAACAATTTGTTCATACTCATACCATGAAAAACAAGTGCCAAACTGGATTACTTTATCAGTCTTTCTTTTCATCCTCATTTTAAAATCCTCTCTATAAAGTTATACCCCAGTTTTGCAGAAACACAGATACTGAGTCATCTTGTTGAGGCAACTGGTACATAAAGTATATGCAAGAAAGAGTGCTCATACATAACTACAGAACTGGTCCTTATTTGGGACTCCCACATTTCTGTCTGGGATTTCCTGGACAGAACTCTACACATCTGTGTGCCACATGTGCAATGAGTCTACCATATGCAGAATGCACCAAAACTACTGCATGGGTGACTCGTGCCTATAAGTGGGACTCATTCAGCATGTGTATGGGTATCACTGGCACCATGCACGCAGAGGGGATCCAAGGTGTGCAGGAAGCCTTACACCTACTGCGCATGAGCTGTACCACTGATCTGCACGTGCACAGTGGAAACATCTGGGACTTCTCTAGCTGAGCTGTGGAGTATTCCGAGGAAAAAAAAAAAAAAGAAAAAAAAGTAGGATAAAAGTCTGAAGCACTTCAGATCACATCTGGAACAAATTGCTAGCAGAGACAGAGGGATAGTGAAGAAACATAGATTTCCAGTAGCTCTACTGAGGCACAGGACCAGATTTAGGCATAAGCCATGTAGGAAATTACCTAGGGCAGCAGATTTACGGGGACAAGTTAAAAATAAAAAGGTTGTTCAGGTTATGAGGGCAGCACTTCTGAGTCCATGACTACACCAGTCTCACCATCTCCCTCGCCTTCCAGCACCATCCTCCTCTCATGGCTCTGTGAGTAAAACCGAGGGATCATTTGCAGAGTGGAAGACAGGAGAGGTTTTAAAGGTAACTGGCTCCCTTAGAAATAGGGAGAAAGACACAGCAGAGGAGAGCTGCAAACTACCCCAATAGCTTCTCACTTTCCCTCTCTACTTCCTCACCACTGATGTTGAGATGATGGCAAAGGGATGTGAACTGCTTTGCTGGGCACGGAAAACAGACACATGACCACCCACGTCTAGAGCAAGGAAATTAGCTTGGGTTTGGTATCCTGAATCACTCCAGGAGAATGGTGCCTGAACAACCAACAACTCCCAAATCATTTAAAATTACTTTATCTCTATCCAAGCTTTGCCTATATTGTGAAGAAGTCTTGGAACAGCCATGCTTATAGCATTAGTTTAAGATTGATTGACTGATTTTGCCCTGAAGTGGATTAGGAGCTCTGATATGATCTCCTTGGCTACTTATGGGAGCAGTAATCTTCATCCTAGAGACAATAGCAAACATGAGCATGTAAATACTCTGAAAGTAGAGAAACAGTTTATACAATGATATGACCAAGATATCGTAGTCCTGAGCATGTTAGCCTTAGGTGCAAATAGCTGGCACTGTAAAAATAATAAAGACTAATGAAGCAGAAACGTAATACAGGTGAGACAGCACTTTATGAATCCTCTCCTACAAGCTGTTTAGCTGTTTCTACAGATGCTTGGCCCCTTGCATGTGATCCTTTTTGATCCTTATTACCTACCAATATATCGTGTTAACGTGTTTGGCTATCAAGTTGCAAAACAAGCTTAAGTTAATGTAAAGATGATGCCCATCCATAGAAGCAGAGAAAGATTTTAGGAAAAAGGTAATATCAAAGTGAAACTCGGGATTCGTCTCTTAAAACCCTGAATATAAGTCACCAGATCAAGGAAACAACCCTTGCATATCTCCTTGCTACTACTGGTATAATCCCTTGATCATACAGATTAAAGATGCTCCTGAATAACAGAATTTGATCTCCCTTTCTCATTGCTAATCCTTCATGGAATACTCCCTTGAATAGTGGCCACACAAGTATTTTGCCATGCAGGTTCACCAATGACAGAATCACCAATGACTTGGTGATAGTTCACTAATGCAGACAATTATTTATTCAGCAAATGTAGTATTTGATCCATTCGTTCTTCTCACTGCTAACAGCCAATTACAGGTGACATGCATCTGTTTTCCTCTGTATACAACAAACCATTGACCACATCTTCCCGGTGGTTCTGCTTTGCTGACTGTTTTGTCAGTCTGCTGCTAATGCCAGAGTCTGAATAATCAGATTAGAAACATCTCTGATGCCTAGTGCCCTTTATGCCATTTTCTTCTTTTTGATGCTGTTCCATTTCTGTTCAGAACTGTAAAAGGCTAAGAGACATGATATCCCATTTGATCATTTCAGCAGGTAGTGAATCGATTATTTTTTTTAGCATCTCTGTGGATAACTCCTTGAACCATCTTTTGAATTGTGTGTTTCAATTATACTCTTTCTATATACCAGATCAATGAGTCTTATTTCTGGGTTAATTAAAAATAATTTTTTACTTTAATTTTAACAGGCATGTGTCACCTTCAGGGAACACTTCACCAGGTTTCAGCGTGACATATGTATCACAAAAGCTGGCTGTGCAAATAAAGGATGCTAGACTCAGGAAATTTCCAAAGGGACAGAGACAAACCAGGACAAAACCTCAATTTCAGTATGAGTCAGCTAAATGCCAAGGCAGTCCTACAACGCTTGGGCATCTGATTTCCCTTCTGGTGGAGAGATAATTTTAGACTGATGTGTCAAATGAGTGCTTTAAGTGAGTTATATCCTGTGTAAGAAGAACCACATAACTCGTTATAAATCCACTTGAATGTTAAAAATTTGAAGTTAAAGGGCAAAACTACAGGTGAATCCAGTGGGACAGGATTTCACCTTTTATTCTCAAAAAAATTATAATCAGAGCAAGGATGCTAATGAAAAAAACCCAAAACATTAACAACAAAAAAGTAAACCCCAAAACCCCAACAAAACAGCTCTGGTGAAGAGTCCCTTTGAACGTGCTCCCACACGACCCGGCAGTCCTGTTGAGAAAGTCAGCTGTGACACAATTTGCTTTTTGCATCCATAGGCAGAGTTATGGCTGGATCCTGGGCTGATGTAAATCAGCATGGCTCTGTTGACTTCAAAGGAATTATTCCAATATGATTTAAAAAAAAAATCTCCTCACATTCCTAACCTAATAAGGACTTTACTCCAGGTTTACAAGGAATTCCAGAACACAATCTTTAGCAGCTTAGCTCTAACACCAGCTTAAAAGTCAGATACAATAGTAAGGACTTGTTTGTTTTCCCATTTTCTGAATATAGATTCATTTATAAAAGCAAAATATAGCTCATATAACTTATGTCTCAATTCTGATGTTATGATTTAAATTGATGATCTTAATGCATCACAGTGTTAATTCTGAAGTAGGTTTTCCACCACTTCTCTTGGAGCACTCAGTATGACTCTGACAATAACGACTTGAAACCCTAGCTTGTAAAAGCCCAGTTTCTGCAAAATGATGAAAATCTTTGAACAGAAGGAGCCAGTTCAGAAACGAGCACTGTGCATTTGAAGCACTAACCATGCATGACCCAAATTTTCTGCATATTTAATATCGCTCATGAACAGAGGTCAGAATTACTATTTCAATCCGTTGCAAACCTCCTGGTAAGAAACAGATGTAAATAAAGAAGTTCACAGGCTTCTCCTGACTTACTGTTACTCACCAGATATCTCCTCTAGGCACTGTTTGGCAGTCTTACTGAATGACAAATCCATTTTAGTAGGACTGGTGCAGGAGTCAGCAGGTGGTAAAGAGGTACTGTCATTTTCTGAGAGAGTTCTGAAATCAAGCAAGAAGATTGATTATTATTATCTGTCATTCCTATATTAATGGAAACAAATTCTACTTACAGCTCATGTAGAAACATATTGCTATATACTGAAAATACCACAAATGTCACATTCTTACTGTGTTAGTTTGACCCCAACTACATAAATCTGCAAGCAACTGGGAACTCTCTCTCTGTGTCCCTCTTCAGGAACAACTCAGAGTTAATGCTGGGAAATTTGGAGCCATTTTGTTTCCTTAATTTTTTTCTGCAAGAGGTGTCATCCAGATATAGGCAGAATCCATTTAAACTGGTTGTCACATGCCTGCACATATATAAGGGAAATGAAACTTGTAATTGCTGAAATATTAAGCAAGAAAGGCCATGTGGGAAGAAGCTTATGCAAGGCTGGAATGGAAATCTGGCCCAGATACTTAAATCTATGTGCAGCTTCTTTTGATAATGCCTCTTATATAACTCTGGGGAAATGGGATAATACAAGTTTTTCCATTAACTTGCTAACAAATAGCCCATATTTGCTTTGATGATATATTTCTGTGGATATCATTGATAAATTATAATGGGTACCCTTTGTTGAATACAGCTATTTGCTATTGCATAATGGTAAATAGAAAGAAATACACAAACACATGCATTATAATACAAAATAGATCACATAATTACTGTCTCTTCTTAAGAAACAGCTCTAGCATCTAGTTTACACAGGAACTGCTGAACTACGATGCCATTAAAAAGCAATGTGTACCATATTTGTATGCAGTAAAAGAATACACCTAAAGATATACTTGTCACTTTTTGAAATAAAATGGAAAAAAGTCCTTCACTTAAAGCTTAAGTTCTTCCAGCTTTCCTGACATGAAAAGCACACTCCTTTTTGTGATTTCTTAAAAGACTAGTGAAATATTTATATCCTAACTTAAAAATGTTACATTTATAGCTCAGTTCTCAAAATTCACCATAAAGTGTTTCCAATACCAATTAAACCGTAAACACAAACATTTAACTATGTGATGAATGTGTATTTTATAAATACCACTGATAAAAACAGTGACTTATCTCTCAAAATATTTGAACGGCAACTCATTTTATGAAATAACTTCCCAGATAACAACTTCTTCAAAGTTACCTACTGAATGAATCTGTTCAGTAATTCATGACTGTAACTGAGGGAGCAGACACGTGCACGTACAACAGCACAAGTATTGTCATGGTGGAATCTGTTGATTAGAATAATTTAATTCTGACTCTGTTCACAGGGAAATAGAAATGTAAATTATGTCTGATCTGATGCACTGTCTTTTTTATCAATTTTTGTACTTTGTGGATGCTGGAAATGGACAACTGCTTTATAAAAAACTATTTTTGGCTCTTGTCTACAATTTCTCTGTGTTACACACTACTGGAAACACCAGCTCAGCACGTGCTGCAAGGTTAACTGTGTCCTACTGACCTCGAATGTAATTTTACATTTGGTTCTTGGTAACAACGTCTTAAGCAGCAAAAAGCCCACTCTACCCCTCCCCAATGGATACACACACTGAAATTCCACAGTCCCACCTGCTTCCTCATATTGCTTCAAATCATCAAAATGAATGAGAGATATGTTTACTTTCACTGAAAACCACTTTGAGAGGCCATGGATGCTCATGAGTACTGCTGTCTGGGTTTAGTGCTGAGACTTAGTGCTGGATCAGCCCAGGGCAAACTATCAGCCCAAAAATACATCTCAGAAAAAGGCACTTATAGTAATGGCAAAGGTAATTGAAGTGGTCTGAAATCTTTTTGTTAAATCCAAATCACAGGGCTGCCAGGGCTGGAGCCAGAGTGACGCTGCAGTTCATTAAGAGGAATACTGGAAAAGAGTAGGTTGCTTTTGGTCTTGCAAGAAGAGCATTTAGCTAGGTGGGTGCAGTTCAAGTATTCCTAGCATTCTCCTCAAAATGTTTATGGAGTTTACATCAGTCCATCTCTGGTTAGAAATAAAAAGAGATCCTTTTTGCCTGTTCTCCTTCTGACCCTACGGCATTGCATTCCTGATTGTACAACTGTTCAACCATCAGCCACTGCATCAACCCCGAAGGTTGACACAAACCCTTCTCTGAGTGACCAAGAGCCTTATATGTAAACTATCTACAAAGAGAGGATAGAAAGGATCCATTCTGGTTTATTTGGACATCTATCATCAGAAAAGGATTAAGTGGTCTGGACCCCCATCAGTCACTAATACCCAGCATTTGCACTGATTCTTCACCCAGGCCAGGTTGGATGAGGCTTTGAGCAACCTGGTGTAGTGGAAGGTGTCCCTGCCCATGGCAGGGGGGTTGGAACTAGATGATCTTTCAGGTCCCTTCCAACCCTAACCATTCTACGATTCTATGATTCATCTAGTAAAATGGAACTTCAATGATCTAGATTGCCCTCTGGTAGTGACTATTGCCTATAAAGCCACTACAGATGAATAAATAACTCATTATTGACTCTATGAGAACACAGATCCTTATCTTAAAAGGATTGGATCTCTCTCCAAGAGCACAAACAAGTAATGCGTGACTTACAGTAACTAAGTAAACTTCAACATGATGAAGGAATCTGTTTACTTAAAATAACGAATATAAGCTTTCACTTGTTCACAACTTTGCTCGCCCAGGTCTCATCAAAACTTTTAGAGATATACCAAATACCAATTAAAGCACATTTCTATTATTCAGTGCTTTTTTGGCTTTTTTGGTTTTAATTTTCAAAAAAATGATGCAGCTATAACCAGGAAGATGAGTTGAAAAACACTGTGAGAAGAATGTCAAAGATTTCCATTCTAAATTTTAGAATCTGATCAGTGGGATTAATTGTGGCACAAAATCCAGTTTCAGAGACATAAGATGGCGTTAGAATCTAAGCCTTAAAGTAAAAATACTAAATAGCAAAGATCATATAACATTAACAATTTTAAAATGTTTGATTTAACTTGTAGAAAGAAAACCATGGAAACCCAAATCAAATATAAATATGAAGTGCTTTTCTTAAATTTATAGACAGCCTGAAATAACATATCTAAGAAGCGTGAAATATCCTTTATCTTACTTGAAACTTGAAAGTTTAAACATAATGTAAAATAAACATGATTTCCTATCAAAACAAATAACAAAGAAACTGCGAAACTGCTATACTGACTTCATTCAGCATTTTTATGCTTAATTTGGTAAAAACATCAATGATTGTAATTATCTGACGCAACAGAAATCCCACGGAGTACTATGGATTTTGCAGTCTTTCTAGGGGTGAAAGACTTCCTAGCAAACCAATGTAGCAGCCTCAGCTCTTGGGGGACAAGGACATCCAGGTATAGACTGGGTCCCTAAAACTTCAAGTTGCTTTGCTCTAGGTCTGTCTCAGGTTGTGATACGTTGAACCAAGAATGGAAACGCCTCTCTGCTTAGCTCAATCATTTTAATTGCAAAAAAAAAGGAAGGTGAAATTGTGAGATTTGTCTTCCCCTATACTTCTGGCTTTTACTTCTTTCTGCGGGACATATTAATCCTATGAATGACTCAAGTGATCTCTGCAGGACTGCAGCATAGATTAAGTTCAAGGCGAGCAAACAGCAAATTAAAAGATCTTCTCATTAATTTTACACGTTGGCCTTAATGAATGGCCCTCTATGCTTATTCACAGCCCACTGCCTTAAAAAAAAATTAAATTCTTGCATCTCTCTTGATATAAATGAAAGTGAAAAGTATTTCAATTTAGTCAAAGCAACCCTGTTGACATTTCTTCCAGTGCTGTGCATCTGCAGTACAGGTTAATTTAGGCAACCATCATGAAAACAAGACAATCTGTTTTCTATTTTAACCACGACAATCAGAGAATATATTTATCCCCAACCACTGAGTTACATGCTACCTATTTGTAAGAGCATCAAACTCTAATGGGACAAATCCTGCTCTCAATCACACCTGCACAAGCTCATTCAGTTTGATTAAAATGAGCATGTACAGGAGTAATTAAGAACAGAATTTGGAACACTACTTAATAAGCTGTCTTTAATGCAGTCAGTCATTTCCTGTCTGTAACAAAATAGCCAATCTTTGATAAACACAGATAACATCAAAGATTTGTTTGGTCTTTACTCGACATTCCAAGAGATATCAGATGAATACTCTGGGTTCTTTTCCAATAACTCTCTGAGGTGCAGCTGCCTTGAATGTGTATCACTGTCAGTATAACAGCCTGGCAGGACCACATCTGAAATACGAGCAGTTTGATCATCCATGTTCAAGACATGTGAGTTAAATTGGGAACAGCTGCAGGGAAGGGCTACTAAGATGATCATGGCAAAGAAGAAACCCTTCTGAAAGGAAAGAAAAGAGAAAGCATTTGGTATAGTCTTGCAATAGAGAAGGAAGAGGATGGGATTATTCCCTCACGAATTTAAAAAGTGCAATCAAAAAGAGGAAAAACAACTTTTTAAGTTTAAGGATAATATTAATAAAGTAATAAATGGATACAGTCTCATCATGTGGGTTGTAAACATTTCCTAACATGAGTGAGTTTCTTGAGGAACTTTCCCATTGGAGTAGTGGGGATTAACTAGTTTAAAATAAAACTTAGTTGGTTTATGGAAGGGTTAATATGGTTGCCAGTGACAGAAGACTGAACAGAATATCCTTTCTGGCCCTTTAACCTACATTTTTACTGATTATTTTAGCCAAAGGAACAAGGCCATGCTTGACTGTATGGCAATTTAAAATAATAGCTTCAGAACATAAACAGCAAGCAACTGAATTACCAAGCTACTGTGTTAACTCAGCATTAATCAAAAACGTGATTATAATGATTTCTTTGCATATTATCCTCCTTCCCATCTCTTAAGTCAACACCTCTACACCAGAAACATTTCTTGCACAATTACTTGAAAATCAAGCATGAGAAAATGAGAGGATTTTTTCTAAACAGTTTTTGTTAACAAGAAAAACTGGTGGGTGGCAATGTTTAGTGCTACCTATGATTGCAAAATTTTGGTGGTGACTGTATTATTTTCACAACAGTAAAGTAAATAATGGAAATAAATAAAGCATTAAAGTATAACTTCGAATCATTGCGTTTTTAAAGAAAAAGTTGCAGTATGTTTAGCAGCACAATCTATTATTAACAAACACAATTAAGTAATAGAATGTCTTTTGCTGAAAACTTAATTTTACCTCCAGAATCAGTGACCAGAAGTAGCTTCTAGTCATTAAAACTGTACAGAAATATGGCTTCAACAAACTCTACAGAAGCTGTGTTTGCAGGATCCTTGAAGAGTAGTTTAATTTTTTCCCTAAGCCAGTATAAAAACATCCTGAACAGGCAGCTGGAATTGAATTACACTGTGCCTCCAGAGGTGCAACCAGATTATATCCTCCTTCCCATCTGTTGCAGCTCTGCACTTGCCATGCACCCTTGAAGCTATGCTCTAGCAAATAGAATTGTTTCAAACACCGTATAGGAAAGGAGGTAAGAAGATTTTAGTACCTGGTAACATGTTCGTTTATTTATTATGCTGATACTTCCTTTCTCTGCCTCTATCTAGTGAAAACTTTAGTCCTCACAGAACCATAAAGTAATGTCTATCAGAAAGATATTCTAGATGCCATCTGATCCAACAACCTGCTCAAAGCAGGTCTGGTTACATTACGGTGCTCAGGGTCTCATTTGGTTTGAGTCTTGAACATGTCCGAGGACAGCTTCCACAACAACAGAGGGCGGTCTGCTCCAGTGTTTCACCACCCTCAATGTAAAAATATTTTTTCTAACTTTTAAACAGCATCTCCCCTGCTGTAATTTGCATCTGTTATCTCTTATCCTTTCACCCTGCATTTCAGAGAAGAGCCTGGCTCCATCTTCTCTACATCAATCTATTAGGTAGCTTAAGTCACCAGTTTCTTATTCTTCAGGGACAAAAGGAGTGCCAAACTGTTTTTTGTAGTCCAGCATTGACACTGAAAGAGTATCTCTGCAAGGTCTCAATTCAGGCAGTGCTGAAACTTCTTCCAGATGTTGCTATCGTTAAACTAGAAATATAGCTGAAGAACTGAAATGTAAGTAATGCACAGTATAGAAGTGCAGCTTAGGATGATGATGACTGGTCAGCTAACTCCCTGCAGTAGTTTCTATACTTTCAGCATTTCAGACAATAAGCAATTTCTGAGCACCACAGCTCCTGGGGTTTGTGCACTTCAGATTCTATATTCTAGCCACGGAAAAGAGACCCACTAAGCTTCTACAGCAGTTAGTGGAGGAGTCAATAAAACAAAAGCGCATTCATACGTCCAGTTACAACTCAACATTCTCCTAATGAAATATTCCTTTAGTGTTTGAGCAAATCCGAGGCAAATGTTAATTGCCAAAATATCACATACTTCCTGTTGGGTTATGATGATTTACATCAACTAAGGATTTGCCCCATGGAGTGAGGTGACTTTTGTGTTACTCGTGGGACTACTAGTTATGTTTCCCATTGTATGGAAATAACGCAAACTTAGGCTATTTGGCTCACAAAAAGTAAAGCAATGGCTGCATACAAAAGGCTCTCTCTGCAAGAAAATAGTTGGAATTATGGGTTATATTACATTTTAGAGTAATGAGTAGGAAAGCTAAGAACTCCAAATACTGAGCAATTAAGCTGTTATTCTGTTGCTAAGATTTTGGGAGAAAGATTCAGTCTTTTCTTTTTTTCAATAATGCCTTTTTTTCCAGTTTTTGCTGTAACATAGTAAGCACTGAACTTCTACGTTATTCTTCTCCATTTGAAATTTAAAAACCACTAGGAAGATAATTAAATTCTATGGCCAGTCTCAGTATGAGTAAGGGACTCTGGCAGATGGTACAATTTTCATGTTCCTCTAATTCTGTCTATGTAGAAGAATGTGTAATCTAAAGTAGTGGCTAGTATATTTTAAAGAACTATAGAGTCTCTTACACCTTCCTTTTAGTTGTTTTTCCTGCTCTATCTCTCTCATCAAGCTTTCTGGGAACTAAATTACATCTACTTCAGCCTTTCTTATATCAGTTGGGCCCTGCAGTCAACTTCAGAGGGGACACATAAGGGTCTGTAAATAACACATTCACAAATGCATTTGAAAATAAATAATCACTTGCTGAGGAGGACAGAAGAATTTAAATTATACCCATTTAGATTATCTCAAATGCAACTCTGTTGCTGCTAATCTTTGAAGAGAAGTAATAATCCCATATGAATTTCCATGTCGTGGTGTTTAAGAGGCATAAAAATACAATGTGATATCAGATAGGACAAAGCACCAAGAGTGCGAAGCTGAATAGTATATCATTTCAGAACCTCCTAGTGAAACAGTATTTTCTGTCTATTGTCCATTAATAAAAATACATGACTCTGAAAACATGAGTGCTGACAACTGCTACAGCATTGCACTCTCTGTTTAAGCAAAATACATGCCAGTCTCAAAGCAATTCTTTGGAATACTCTCTTTTACTCATAAATCTACCATAATATCCTCTTGGGTAATAATCGAACGTGGCAAAACCCATGATATCTACAGGTATCAGCAACACATCAGAAAAAGCACCAGCTTACTTGTCCTTGTGTTAACAGCCTAAACTCATCACAGTTGTATATTGCAGTATTCTGCAGGATTCTGGATGAAATACGCTGTATTGTTACTAAATTATATTGAAACTTTTTACAAGGACTGTAGTACAAATGTAAAGAGCCAAGATATTCCTTCCCATTGTAAAAAACTGTCTGAATGATAACTATTGTTTATTAACTCACTGACCTATACAGCTGTCCTAGCAGCTAACAAGCGCACCTGAATACTCTGTGTATAAATTGTGGTGACTGCTCAGAAAACAGTTACGTTTAAGAGCAAGATAGTGTAAATACAGATCCCAGCTTCATGCACACTTCCACTTGCCACATGCCCACAAAATAAATATGCTGACTTTGGAAATGTGGATATTTTATCCTTGGTTATATTTATAATCTTCTGTGAAATCATTGTGTACTATTGCAAAGCCCTTGAGTTGTACGAAATGCAGTTACTGTGTATTTTTGGGTCAGATTCTGCTCTCAGTTACAGAGATACACATTGAAGTAACCTCATCAAAGTCAGTCTATTACTCTGGGTTTACAGCATTCTGAGATCAGACCCTGGCTCTGAGAATTCTATTTCCATGCGAGATTTAACTTCAAATACAGTCCCCTTTGCTGTTTGTTTGAAGCAAACAGACGACTATTAATAACAAATTTTACTGGAAGATGCAGGCTTCTATCGCCCTTTAAAATGCAAAGCATATTTTTCTTCTTGATGAAGCTTAAAAGAATGGTAAGATATCTCCATCATGCAATGAAATGGCACCAATACGTGGTAAAATCGCCATTAAATAGCACATGCATCTGAAGTCAAAGCATAGCTTCTTTTTCTCTCTCCTTATATATGCACCCTAACACATATGTAGGCCATCCTATGTACCACGCTGCAAACAGTCTGTATCACTGAGGTTACCCTAGACAGTTATAAAGAAGCATGCATATTAAGCACATCGAGTGATACATTTAATTGAAACTCAAGAGGCTACCCGCTGCATATCAGAATAAGTACAATCTATACCATGCCTTTCCCCCCTCCCATACAATTTTCTGAACTGCTTTTGTTCAGAATTAACTTAAACAGTTTACTGCTCATCTAGATTAGTTTTGAAGCTATGTTTAGTTGTGTATAATGATATATATATTCCCTCAGAGCCTACTTCAGCACTCTTTAATCTTTAGCCAAGATTATCTGCAGCACTACTCACTAACAAAAACTGCCAGTATATTTTGCTTAATAATGTATTTGTCATTGTATCAGATGTTAAATTTACCCACAACTGTAGCTAAAGCCCTCCAACAACTGACATCTGGTATCGTTACTCAAACCAGCCTGTTGGTCTTTCTACACTTTCTCTGTCTTCTGAGCTGTACAACAATGAAATCTCTCAGCTTCTCTTCAGTTACTCTAGCATATAGCAAAATAAACTCAGACAAAGGTTGATACATTTAACTGTTCATGCCTTGGCCATCAGAAGAGCTTGCATCACCTGTAAAAAGTAACTGCCACCATGGAGTTAGTCTATAACTAGTTCGTATATAAAACTAAACAGGAAAGGGATCTGCAAACAGCAAACTTTTCTACCCAAAACGTTGAAATATTTTTAAATAAATACTTGTAAAAATTTATGTATGTTTTTTCCTCCAGTAGCCTACTTTTACTGTTACATACTCTGAAAACATCAGCAGTTTATTTTTGGATTTTTTAAGAGAACAGTGATTTTAGCAAATATTATTGAATATCAGCAAATAAATGCTGAGGTTCTTAAATTGCAAACAAGAATATTAGCACTAGAAACCTGACTCAGCCGTGACCTTTCAAAGCAGCACAGGGAATGTACCATGTGATTTGTATTTCTAATCAAAGCATCCTGAATTTTAAATGGCAAATATTTGCAGTGGATTGCTTTCGTACAAGGTAGAGACTCAGAGTTGTTGGAAGAAATTGTTCATACAGTAATATTAATTAAAAAATAATATTAGGAAAACATGTGCACTGAAAGAGGGTAGATTTAGACTGGATATAAGGAAGAAATTCTTCCCTCTGAGGGTGGTGAAGCACTGGGACATGTCGCCCAGAGAAGCTGTGGATGCCCCATCCCTGGAAGTGTTCAAGGCCAGGCTGGATGAGGCTTTGAGCAATCTGATCTAGGGGAAGGTGTCCCTGCCATGGCAGGGAGAATGGAACTAGGTGATCTTTAAGGTCCCTTCCAACCCATATCATTCTATGATTCTACCATGCTGTGACAGAAACTGGGAGATAAGAAACTTAATAGTGTGATCCACCATTGCTCTATTCGTTTTAGCTCTCTTCTCTAACTGGTAACACAAAAAATCAATTTCCCTCCATGACCTTACCTATAAATGAAAGGAGCTACTGTGGCAGTGTTGGGGTGACTGTATTGCTGTTGCTGAGGAAGCTGGACGACACCATTTCCTGTGCCTTGGCCGCTGCTTGCAGCCATCGAGGCCGACAGAGCCACGGAGGATCCCGGGGTGAGAGCTCCGCTTGGTTCTTTCCCTTCAGAAGAAGCAAGACCAGAGGAAGGAGAAGCCTTCTCACTGAGTTGAGATTTTGGTGTTGATTGCGCCTGGTTTCCTTTTGCAGTCCTCACTTTTTCAACATCCTTACTTCCCGTGCATGCGGATGAAGTGCTCTGCTTTGCTGTTGGCACCTTCGATCCAGGTTTTGGGATCCCACTAGAAGACGGTATTAAACTTTCCTTCTTGGCTGCTGTCGTCTTGCTTCCCTTTGGGATTAAGCTTGCGATTTTTGAGCTCTTCTTTGTAGATGTTTCAGTGACCTGGTCCTTCTCTTCCTTGACTGTTTTCTCAGTGCAAACTTTGTTTTTCTCCCTGTTCTTTTCCTCTTTGTCCTTTGGCTGTAGCAAAGACTTTTTATTGCTGAGATTTTTGCTTCCAGCTTTCGGAGGGGTTAACTTCGGTGATACTTTAGGACTGCTACTTGTGGACCCACCGCTGTTCACCCCACTGCTTAAGACATCCATTTCACCGCACTCTGAAAATGTATCATCCTCTCTCCCACTGTCACTGGGTCCTGAGCTCAGCGACAAAGGAGGTCTCAGAGCAGTCCTAGCGTTAACCAGTTTGAATTTTTCCAGCATAGATTTTTGTCCAGATGAAGGGGGCTTCATACCTTCAGAAGGGGGCGGCTTAAGCCTGTCTGAAGATGGAGTAGGGGAGGTTGCGGGACTAGGCTGCTTCACGGACAGCATGGTAGAGGTCGCGCTGTGTTTGACATTCATGGATTTGCTGCGCCAAGGCTTGCTGGCACTTGGAGAGGGTATAGCAGAGACCTGCTGCTGCCCAGTGCTGGTGGGATGCTGCACATTTCCATTCATGCCTGCAGATGGGTGAGGGCCTTTTGGTGAATCTGCTTAGAAAACAGAAAGAATCATAATGGTACAGTTATTCTCCCATCTCCTACTTGAAGGTGACACTGTAATCCTCTAACATTTAAAAGTTACATGTGATTTATAATAAACATAGCTTACATGTGCATGGAACATGAAGAATACTAATCAAAAATGCCTTTTTTTCCCCCTACTATGATGATGTTGTGCAATACTTCTATGAGCTGAAGAGGATCTTAGAAACACTTTTCTTGTAACCACTTCATTACACAAATGAAATCTTTCAATGTAAAGATTTTATTTCTAGTAAGTCATAAAGAAATTCTTTCTATCACTTGTTAATAATAAAACACTGAGACATGGAAGAAAAAAGAATGATACAATATTGGAAGAAAAAGAAAACTAGAGAAAGATGGTTTTGATGTTCAGTGAAGGCAAAATTTGTGCTAGAAAGCTGAGGTTTTGGTCAGGAAGAGGAGGGCTGAGGAATACTAAAATCAAATGGATATGATCAATATTCATAAAAGCAAAAAAATGACAGGTCACAATACATTTTTAAGTACAGTTAACAGCCTTTAGTAGCTGACTTCAGGAACTTTCATAGGTGAGAAAATCTTATCAACAATTTCACCAGTGTCAGTACTTGAAAGTTATGGAGATGTATCATCTACATGGGTATAGCCTTGATAGATGTTTTGGATCTCAAGCTCAGGTAGGTACAGAAGGCTTGTTTACTTGGATCTTGTACCTTCACTCTATTTACATCGTTCAGGAACTTCAGCAAATCTTCAGAATGAATGAGAGAAAAACTCCTTCTGCAATAATCAAACTATGCTAATCAACGATGATTTTCAAGAAAGTCATCTCGCCTTATTAAGCAAAATGGACCAATGCATTTAAAAGTTAAGCTTTTCTCTGTGAAGCTCAGATTTCCAAGACATATCTGAGTATCTAAACTCTAGTACTCTACAGCACCAGGGATATTAAGGGTAATGGCAATCAAATATGTGGTACATAGCTGTTTCAGCAGATGACACATTTTCTCCTATTGTATCTATCCTGTCTTGCCATTCAGTCTCGGGACTGCCAGTGAATTAGGCGTAAGTATATCAAATTCAGTACTACAAGAAAGCCTATGAAACATACAGCGCAAATGTAGTTCACACAACAGCAAAGAGAGTGCTTGATGTGTTGCATACACACATGAAACCAAAGTTATGCCTTTGGGCCTCCCTGTCTGAATAATATAGTAGATAAGGACAATGAAGACATTTGTCCCTTCAGCATAGAGTTTGAAGTTATGCATCATTTTCATTTTTGCAATCTCATCCCTATGGCCCTAACATGGATTAGACTACCCACCTGCAAATCTTAAGGCTACAAATATATATAGCGAAAGGAGGATTTTGAGCATTCTGAAAGGGAGGTGTTTTTTCTTTAACAAAGAGAATGCATCTGCCCAGAGTTTTTTGTGCACTTCTCAGCCTGATATGCAAACCCCACAGCACTAAATGAGCTCAGTACATCTTCACAGGTTTCAAGCAGTTCTGCTGCATCCAGTTACTAGGCAAGAAAACGTTAACGGTAAGGGTTGTCTCAGAGCATTTTTGGGACAGGTGAGGTTATGGCTTATTCCCTGGGCTCAGGATAGCACCATGCACATGGAGCAGCTTTGGTGGGCAGCTGCAAAGCTGATCCCTCCCTTGCGACCAAGGCAGGAATTGTGGCTGGGCCCCTGCTATTTTCTGGTGAGCCTCAGATCCTGGAAGAGAGCCTGGGGCCAACAACAGCTGTTGGAAATTACTGCAGCCCTCCGGCTTCCTTAATTTATACCAGGGATCAGCCCCGTGGCTGATAGCCCAGGACTGGGTGTGCACAAGGACCTTCTTGCACACGTCTTGCCTTGTACTAAGCTTGCCTTAATTACATAGGAGGATTGGGGTCTTTAGCTATCCCAAGTTTTGCAGAACAATTCACCATAAGAATACGTAAAGCTAATGGAGAGCATTTGTAACAATCTGTGAACAGCAGGATGCCACTACACTCTGTTGTATTAATTCTGTTACATTTGTATGGCTTCAGGCTATCAGTTTTACCAAAAAAAATTGTGTCCTGATTAAAAATAAGAATGAATACCTTGCCATATTTCATGTTATATAATATTAAACCCATTGTAGGGGAAATTGTAAAAAGAAAGAGTTATTTACTGTTTCGTCAATAGCTTGTTCTGCTACATATATAGCAAAAAAACGCAGGTTCCTGGAACCGTTGGTATTTATTTTCTCCCTATGTCACAAACCATAAACAGCACCAAAAAAGTTACAGAGAACTTTAACTTGCCTTTAATCTTCAATTTAAAGCGTATCTTTAATATTCCCGCAAAGAATGCGGACTGCATGCTCTCCAGAAGTATTAAGAATCTGTCTATATGTTTAAAGATGTGGAATAAAAAGATTTATTCTGCCCTCCCAGCCCAAATGCATTACTTGAAGCTGAACATCATTCATTGCTTCCTGCACGTCCAGTTGGGATTCAACTTCAGCTGTTCATTATATGAAATCTGTCCCCACCTTGTGGTGATTTTCATACAGAGTAAATCCAACCTATGACAAGGATTTCATACTTCTATAAATTAAATTTTACATGAAGACAATCTTCTGTTTAGGCCCTAATACCCTTATTGCTGAAATGTATAATCAGCTTGTGGTGAAACCAATTTTGCATTCTGCTTGCGAGCTCTGTGCTTCAGAGCTGAGCTCAACCCGCGTTGGGAAAGGACAACAGCAACACCCCCAGGTGTTCAGTGTAAAAAGAGAAATTTCTACCAGAACCCAGCAAGACCACGACAACCGAATGGATGTTTAAGTCCACTCTTCATAGACTGTTGCACAAATAAAGGATGTGTGAGGGGTTAAATTTGGGCCCAATATATAATCAACCTCCTCTGCCTTCTCGTCTGTGACCAACCTTTGCTATGTTCATTGCTGTTGGAGAAGACAAGACCCCTGTGACAACAGCTCCTCCATTGCAGCACAGTTAGATAATGATAGTGTATACACTCTGTAGCAGACAGGTGCCCAGATTACAATATCCAATTCTAGTCACCCACAGTAAAAAAGGTTAGCAGAAACTGGAAGAGCTGCAAGGGATTGGTATAAAGATGTTTGGAGGGATGAGAGGTCCATGTGGTGAGATTAAAAGAAGTCAGCTTATTTAACTGCCCCTTTCCAGTGGTCCATGAGAAAGTAACTGCCTCTTATCAGCACAGGAGGAGACCGCCACCAGGGACACCTGGCAAAATACTGGCACCAGAAGAAATGTAAAGAAATTAGCATTAGATGTACATACTGGCCACAGATGAACAATGATTTGCATCCATCAGACAATGGAGTTCTAGGACAGAGTTTCTCAGAGTTGTTATGGGCAAAATAAACAAATACCATTGAAACTGAGTTAGCACAACACACAAACACCATTTTGTATTATTAAATTACATTGAAAAGCAGGCAATTAAATTCCATGACATAGGAATTCCATTATCAGTGTTCAGGTACAATGTTTCTAAGCTCTAAAGTATAAATATTTGTTTGTAAAATTTGAACTGAATTAGAACATTATTTCTTTGCTGGACTCAAAATGTGTCCACCTTATCAGCAATGTGAATAATTACTTGATTCAAATAGTTTCATTTTCATAGTTTCATTTTCATCTTTATTTTATTAAAAGACAGAAGTAGATAGATGTGACGTGACCTGGAAAACAGATGTGTTCTTTGAAACACATCCATAAGCTGCAAAGTCCAGGGGAAAAAAGAAAAGAAAAAAAAAATCAGCTCACTAAAGCTCCACAGATGGGTTTCAGTTCATGGCATGTTTATTGCTTCAATTCATTCTGTGTTCCTCATTTAACCGCAGCCACATACAGCTACCCACGTCACAGCGATGGGTTGGGCTGTGGGTTAAAACTGGGCTGTACTCAATAAAGAGCAAACCTGCATTCACCCAGGGGAGCTCGGTTTCTTGCTGTGTGAACTACTCCCTAAGCAACATACAAAGGAGATAACGTTAATGACATACTAAATAATGAAATACTAAATAAAACGCCCATATCACATCTTATTTTGGATCACGTTCAGGTCTCCTTTAACTCTGTGACTACATATCCATTCCCCACTGTGACTAAGTTGGAAACTGCCTTATGCAGAAATGTATTTCAAGTATTACATATAACTGGATTAAAAAACCCCACACACTTATATATATCTTTTCCGAGGTCTCCTCATAGCACATACAGGAGGGTGTACTACAGAGAAAAATGTATAAAAAGTGGTCTGCCCTTGAAGAGGTGCGGAGGTCTCAGCCTCTAATAACTATTTATCTAGCACAAGTCATCTCTTTTTCCACTTCAGTTTACACAACTCTAAAGCAGAATTACAAGGTATTTACTATATGATCTATGTCTATTAGAGTGTACAGAATGTACATCCATTCAATGGAAGCTGTTAAAGTTATCTTGCTCCAAGCATTTGCATCAGGAGCAAAATTTGAAATAAAAAGTTTATTATCTGTGCCACAATGTAAGGAAAAATCAGTTTTTCAATGTATAGTGACACTTTTTTTTTAAAGAGGTGTTTATTACTATTACTATTGTGAGGGTTGAAGTTTGTTTCTAAATAAATTCTTAAAAAAACTCAGGTCACAGAACATTCTCAAATACTTCAAAAAGATATCAAAAGACTACTAGGAAATTTCATTGTAATATTAAAAAATTAGCCACGATAATAATTAAATTTAAAATATAGCATGGTTCAGTTGTTTTTCTCTTTAGGCAAAGAAGTAGAATGGTGAATTCAAATACAGGTTCCCATATGTTCTTTTAGGGTATTATAAAAATATCACTTCCCTATCCTTGCACTCACAGCAGTAATTTTCTCTAACTTTTGCTTTATACTCTAAACCAAACTTGTATTCGGCTTATATGCTCATGTAAAATCAATGTTCTTCCATCCATTCTGCTGTTTTGAAAGAAAGGAAAAAGAGCAGATAGAAAGATCTCAGATAAAGTACTCTCTAGTTATGCAACATTACATTTTCTATATCCTGTAAAATTAATCGAATGATTATACACAAACAAAGCCACTCCTTATGCTCTTGCAAGAGATGACTTGACTAAAAATTTCATCAAGCTTCTTATTCTCTGCTGTAAAGAAATGGGAAAGTAAAGAAATCCATCATGCAAAAAGGCACATAAATGTGCAACGCAATGCAAACCTTAGCAGTCAAAAGAAAGTTTCCAAGTAACGAGCTTAGAATATTAATATCTACAAGCATGTCTCACCTTGAATCATTTCACTCTCACGTATTTCAGCATATGTCAACATTATGAAGCAATTCTAAAACCTAAACTGCTGTACATACCTTCATTCGAGCAGCCACATCTCCTATTCATAACTTCACTATCGTATTTGTGAACTATACCATGTCTGCTCAGTTTTCGCTCTGATCTCTTTCTAGTTTTAGTCTGGATGTCTTACCATAAACAAGCCCTTGACAAAATAAATCCCACTATAGAACTATCTAAAACATTCAACTCTGATAGTAAAAATAAAGAAATAACTATTGAAAGGATGGTTTTATATCTTCAGATACAGCTAGGGGCAAAGTGTGTTCATCAGAATTCTGTAAAAAAAACCCCAAACTGGATAGCTGCCTGTTGCTTGGATGAAGAACATTCACTGCATACTTGTTCCTCCCACAGACCCCAAGGATGCAAACGGGTACTATGTATATTGTATCATTTTCAACTGCATTCTAACCCAGAGATATGAATAAAATGCTGTTCATTACACAAAGGGAGAAACAAGGGGGAGAAGGGGCTGGATTAGTTACACAACTCAGAAAGCTGAATTTTTACATTATTCTTTCTGTGATAAAGCCTGAAGAGGCACATTTTCTAGAAAAACAGTGTCAGGGTGGGAGTAACAGAAGGACCCAGGAAACTCAGTTTGTTTCCATAATGGAAGTTCATATTTAAAGGAGGCAATAAAATATGGACACTGAATTCAAATACTTGCAAAATTTCATTACATTTGACTTAATTTCCAATCCTCTTTTTAGGCTCATGTATACACTAGGTAAGGTTCTGAAGGAACAGATGCATGTAATATTCTGACGCAAATATGATATTCTGATTCTTCTCCATTACAGGCTAAGGTGCAAAGTCCCCTGAAAATTATGTCAGTCTTCCTTTGGGTATGAGTAGACTTGAATATGGACAAAGATTATAGGCATCTAATACAGATTCATTTTTACTTCAGAAAAATCACCCAGTGAAGTTTTCATCAAAGAGAGATAAAATAAAACTATAACATCTTGAAAGTTTTCAGTTCTGAACTTTAATTCCAATTCAACCACAAGTCCTAATTCAGAGCCTTATCTCCATAGGTCTTCCTCACCAAGCATAAATAGTACATTCACTTCTTTGACCCCTGTGGATGGGTTCTTTTGGTGTTTTGTGTTTTCCTCTTGTATGTTAAGTAAGCCTAGTAACTTTTAATCAATTACCTTTTTCATTTCCATTTGCATATTGTGGAGGCTTGTTTTTGTCAATGCTGTTAAAGCTCTGGCTTCTCCGATTTAAATTAGAGGCTCCCTGGACTTTGGTACTGCTGCCTGCAGCTGGCACCCTTGAGGGTCCTGGAAGCCTGTAATGGTATAATGAGAAATCAGTTCATTTTATATAAAGCAACATACAGAGGAGTCAGTATTCAAATATCAGACCAGAATTTAAAACCAACAACTGAAAACAATGATTTCAGGTAAGCAACAATGAACAGGAGGATTCAAATTAGTTAGACTCCACAAACGAAAACAGATGCCTATCCTCAAGCACACGAAAGGGAAAAAGATGCTTTCTAGAGTCACAGGACATGTAAGAAGATGCTTTGCATTTACCATTAACATTGCTAAAACAGATTCACCCTAAAAACCCATTAAAGTGCAATATCAACTTTTATTTAAACCTGTCCCTTTTGAAGAGGAAATGTTACAGAAATTGATTAGAAAGCACAACAATACATAGTTGGGAACTATTTCATATCTCTTACTGTAGCAAATGTTTCATAGCTGTGTTTAGCATAAAAACTGGCTTTTCAGTTATCTTCTTTGGTTATTTTACAGAGGGCTATTGGCTGAAGCATTTCTACCTTAGTATTCTAAATGAAAAATATTGAAAATACATATTTTTGCTAGATGCTACACACGCATATATACCTTTTAGATAGAAGCACATGATGTAGACTATACAGTTCATTTGCTAGTATTTGCTGCCACCATCTGAACCTTACTGTGTGGCTATGCTGAGGAAAAAAAATGTAGACCCTGTAGTCCCTGGCGTGTGTAAACTTGCATCTTTTTTTCTGTCTGAATCTGTTCTCTGATGTAAGATTCTTTGATACATGCTTACTGCCAACTTTCTGCAGCATCTTTGTGGGCACTCCCACTCCTTTCCAGTTTTGTTATCTGATAGATGAAATGAAATGATCAAATCAGCAAGAGGCTTTTGCCATGGGAGAAGAATATCTCTCTCCTGTTTCTCACTTATTGGGATGGTATGATGATTTTAGTAGTGGCAATACAAATTATACCAGAGTTATTGAATTCAGTTAGTTTCACTACATTACAAAAGAGCAGCATCAGAAGGGAGAAAAGAAAATGACGCTACAAAGAGTTATAAAATGTTAGATTTCTTCTGAACTGGTGTAACAGAAATGTTCAAATCATTTTATTTTCATTAGCGAACATATGTAAACAGCTCCATGTTCTCTTCCTTTACCAATTTAAGCCTCAGAGAGCTAATCCATTAGTTATTTTTATGGCTCATTCTGGCCGCCAGCCTGCCCTGCTAGTCTCTGTGCCGAGCCCAGAGCAGACTGTCTCTGCTCTGCAGCTGTACGCATGCTAACCTTTACTGTGACCCATGAATTCGAGTGATCTTCTGTTCCCTGAAGAATGCACTAAAACAAACTTAAAAATCCATTTGCTCCTTCTCATTACCCTAATTTGACAGGCAGTAAGAGCCCCGAGATCGTTTGTCAAAGGTAATGAAAAAAGCAATGAGGAGGCATGTGCAACACTGGAAACTCATCTGTTCTGTTAAAATATAGAATATTTCTGCATATATTCTGCATGCCAGAATTCGAGAACTTGCCACAGTAAGCACATTATACATGAGGTCATTTGCTCTACACACTTTCCAGTTTACCTCATTTGCTGTCTTTTTTAATTAAATTCAGGTTTTAAATTACTCTTGCAGAATCATGTTAAGCAGCTAAGGAAATGCAAAGAGGAGAATAACAGAGAAGGGACAAGTCACATACCTCTGAAAAGGCTTCGGAAACACTGCCACAGATTTAAAGTATTAGACAATAAGACTGTTAACCCCGACACGTTGAATGCGGACAAGACAGGAGCATCAGCAATAAGGAAAACTGAGGACCTACAAACGCAGGTGCAAAGCAACAGGACCATGGTATAGCTCAGTCCAAGCTATCACCAGCAACTCAAATTGTGTTAGTGTGCTATACTGCAAAGTGCAATCTTTATTGTAGAATATGCAATTTCGAGTTCATTGTTCTCACCAATGAACTCTACAGGAAAGGTATAATTAATGAACACATTAATTATCCCCCACCAAAAAAAAAAAGCTAGAAACAAGAGTAAGCTTTAGACCTCAGCTTCTTTCTTCTGCAGTCTGGCTTGTAGATTTTAGTGCTCATGGAAGCGACAAACCAAAAGTACTGATGAAATCTGAAACAAGTCATCTCCTACACACAGCTCTGTCAAATTCTCTGCCAAAACAAATCATCTCCTTAGTGGGGACTGTGTGCAGGCTACTCTTGACGGAGCAGAAGTCTTGGAAGTGGTTCTTTTTGACTGCTCTATTTTGCTTCTGTGTGAGCTTGGCTCTGTGAACTCAACTTCTCAGGTGGGTTTGCGAGACATGCAAAACAGCTAGTGGGAATTGGGATGAACTCCCAAACCTCTATTCACTCACGACTAAAGTAAGGATTTAGGCCAGAGAGTAGCGAGCACTAAAATCACCAACTAGTCCTTCACATCCAATATTTTACATGCAGGATACAAAGATGCAGGATACATAACAACTAGGAATATTACTAATATACAGTACAAATCCGCTCCTTCAAGTCCATACAAGGCTTTCCCGTGGCAAAGCTCATCGTTGCGAAGCTTGTACGCATAACATAAACACACATTGTTTAATGTCTGCTCATGTCCGAAGGATAAAATATCAATGGGCATATACTTGCTTGAGTATCACTAACAAGCAATAAATTAGAGATATTTAACTGACCTAGAAGTCTTTTTTTGACTGGTTGCAATTCCACTGTGATTAGACTGAGTTGCATATCTGGCTGTGAGACTGTATGAGAAGAAACAGAGAAATTGAATTAAAGAATTTCTTTGAACATGTATAGAAAGAACACACTTACCAGCAAACTATGAGTTAATGAATGCAAATTGAACATGGATAGAAAACACAAATTAACTGGCAAAAATATGAAATAATGCGAACATGCAGATTTTTATGAGAGATGCAGTGCACAGATTATGAAATAATGGATATTGTTATAACTTGTCTCATTTGCTAGAAATTATCTTAGGAATAGACAATGCAGGCAAATTTCCCCAGAGACTGAATGCAAGCTCAGTTTGCACAGAGGGTACCTCAAAACTTTGTGCCTTCATTTATTAATTTTTTTTTTCTCCACCATAAAAAGTACTAAGCACAAAAAACTAATTTCTCCAGCAACCCGACTGGGTTCACAGCCTGGCAGTAAGGAACAAATTTGCTACACCAGATCCAACATGGTCTCAGAATAACTCCCACTAAAGGAAGGTGATCCTCCAGACAGTAGAGCTATATGTAAGAAGAATCCCATCATAATTTTAATTACTATTATGGCAGCACTGTAACAGGCCATGTATGTGATGCATTACCCAGGCAATGAATCAGAGCCTTCATTAGGAAAGCCCTGACCACTACTTAGACTCACTGTTAAATTCCATAGGAAAATGCATCCTTGTCTATTAAGCTTCTGAGTAGTATTTCTGCAACAGAAGAGAGGCTGTGCTATAGGGCTAAAAACCGTATGTTCCTTTTGACACCCAGTAATGTGTTATTACTAAACGGCAAATGTACGTCTCTATTCTTTTAGACATTTGCATAGAGGATATGTCAAATGTATAGCCAAGGTCAGCCCTCCTGCCAGATAATTTCAGTTACTATAAACAGGTGCATCCTTTGGGATGCTCACAGCCTAAGGATACAGACAGGTGCCGAAGCCAGGTGCCATCACAAAATGAAATTCCTTGCATTATTAAGGAAGTGACGGAGAACTGAGTAAGCAGAAACTGTGCTAGTCACAGATTGCTTTTGTCTTGTACAGTTCTGCATCTTCCAGTGATTCTTCTGAGTAACAGCAAAAACCAGAGTGCTCTAGTCCCGGCTTTATAGACTGACAGCACTTAGAAACACCTGGTGGTACTGAGTCGACCAAAAAAGCATTAAGCAATTTCTGCTAGTCCACTGGAGCAGACAGCCTGAGTATAGAGTGGATAGAAGAAGCTCTCAAGGGAGAAAAGTCTTCAGCACAGCAGTCCTGAAGAGGGGCAGTGGGAAGGCACAAACCAAGGGACAATGTGAGACATGAGTGGGATGCCTTAGTACTGTTACTTCCCCAAATTAAACCCCGGTAAAGGATTCAGCCTTGCCTCTGTGCTTGCCACCTACAAATGGCACACGTGCACACAATAAATACAAAAAAAGGAGAATACTTCAGTCTTAAGAGGGCAAAAAAGAATCATTCAATACATAAAAGCAGCATTCAGTTCCCTGATTTATATCTTCACAGTAATGCTAACAAAGTGCTCTTTTTTTATGACCATAAATTCTGTGGGAATTGTAATAAATTATAATAGTATCATAGATAAAAATACATAAACTGTAATTATTATCTAGTCAGTAGCATGTTGAATTATATTTCACTCAGTTATCTTTCTTAATAATGTCTAGACTTATGACGCAAATGTGATGTAGGCTGTTTTGCTGAATTTGCTGCATTTGTGCATGGTATAATAGCCCATTTTTTGATCTTCCATGCGTGATTTATTTCAACATATTTAAAATAAAGGAATCTAGAAATGGTTAACTGGTTATCTGCATTGACTAAACTAAGAGGTTTATGAAAAAAATGGTATGTTACATGAAACCTTAGTGCATTTATGTTGTAAAAGGTAAAATGATACACAGTACAATCAACACAGACAGTAAGCTGGAAAAATAGAGTGAATAGGATGCCTTGGCATAGCATGTCGTAGCTATTCTACTTCAAACAACACAATTCCAAAGTAGCTAGAAAGATCAAATAGCTTAATCTCAGTGATGCTGCCGAGTTGTTGATAAGCTAGTCCACAGACATTTGGCACTTTTCTTCCCTTTTTGTTTTTTATAACAATAAATACCTGAAGCATCTATCTGGAAATGCTTGCTATAGTGCTTTTCTTCCACGCTTGTCACTTGGGACTTCACTAGCGAATTCATGAAACATCAGCTTATAGACTGCTTTCAAACTTTGCAAACAGGCCTGAAAAGCTTTGAGGGATGCATCAATATAAGTAAAGCATCATTTCCACTGTGACTGGGTAAATTTATTTTCCAAAGTAATGTGACAAATGAAAGGGAAAAAGAGAACTTTTAACAGCTCATAAACCAGGTGCATCAAGTTCCTAATGACTTTGCGTTTTCCTTCTCAATTAGCTCTGAATGTGCTGGACCCATTAAAGTTTTGCATGGATGCCTGTTTCTCAACTGCTGGCCCCACCATTACAGATGTTAACTGCAACATGCCTAAAGTCTACTGACTCTTCTAAATGTATAAACAAATATTTACCTGCTGCCCTCCATCCTACCAAATAATTGTCTGTAGGTAACATCTGGCAGTCAGGAAAATAAACCTGCTTTGCTTAAAACAGTCATTTTTTATGCTTATAGATCCACAGAAAGGTTTAATAAATATGTGCCTGCAATAAAGTAGCACAGTAGAAGTTTAACACTACAGCATTTAGGACAAGGAAGGATTTATTTATCAGAGGGTTGCAATGGAGGATTTTCAAAGCCTCTAGTTGTCAGCTGTCTGCTCCCAAGACCCTTTCCACTACCATAATACTCCCACTATGGCTACAGCTCCTCACGGAGGAGCCACAGCAGTCACCTGCAAATCCCAGCTGTGGTGCACTGGCAGGAAGGGGACAGACAAACTACAGAATAAACTAACTCTGACTGTGGAGCCTGCAGGAAACTCTGCTGCTCCCAGAGCTACAGCCCTGTCTTGCAGTCCTGGGGACAATTGCAGCATTGGGCCTGGGCCAGGAACAGTCCTTCAGCCCTCTGGCATTGTGCTTAACTCTCCTGTTTCACATAGTGCATAAGGGAAGAGAAGGCAGATGCTCCTGGTTAAGTAAATCCTGTTCAAGAGAGGTAAGATGTATAGACAGTATACATGCATCTTATCCCAAATCCTTAGAAATCATCTGGACTCTGCAAACGGGATTCCAGGTGGAAATCAAGCCCTCATATTTTCTCTTGCAAACCAGGGAAACATGGGTCAACACAGGAGACATGAAACGATGACACTGGGTAATTTCTGTTGCTGCTCCCTTGGTGAAATGCCATGAGAAAATAGAATAAACGTGCTGTTACTACCCAGAAAGGCAGCTCACCACAGAGGCAGCTGGGGTAGTATTGAGAAGAAAGCTACAGAGATGTTAGAGGTTGTCCTGACTCTGAGGTGCTGATGGGGAAAACCACAGGTGCTGGTTGCAGGAACCAGGACTCGGTGCTGCGCCATGTGGTTGTGCAGCACAGTCAACAGTGTTGGGGAGCTGTGCACCATGTTCCACCGAATTGATAGAGGGCATGCAGTTGTAGGCAGGATAAAAGGGTTAAGAAATGGTCCTAAAAGGTGTAGGGGAACCTAGGAAGTCAATATAGGCTACAATACTAAAGATTCTTCAATGTGCTCCCACTGAAAGTGAAATGAAATATTCAACTCAAATGGGCAAATAAGAACAAAGAAGATGAATAGGGAACACAAGTGACGACTCAACACTGAACCAAACTGCCAGAAAGTCTGTCTGGCTACTATTCAAATAGCACGGTATATCAGGAAAGATGCAGCTCCTTGAAAGTGTGTATACCATGTAAAGCTAAAGAATGGAGCTCCTATAAACCTAGATACAGAGAATGAATCAGGCTGAAAATATTTTAACCTCTGTCTTCAAAAAGTAACTCATGCAGCGACACCCTGAATATAATCTACTTTTTATTAACAGTCTTTTGAAAGATCAAAAGGATCATGTTACCTCACACTGTCATTTTCCTATAATGTTAAGAGTCACATGGTGGTTCTAAAATGCCAGCTATGTGATCTGTTAAAATTAGACAAAAGGCAAGGGGGTTGGTAGTATATAATCAAAGTCTTTCTACCTTACTGGCATACTTGAATTGTAACATGCTGTTGATCATATAAAGTGCATTTATACCACTAGAGTGATTGCACTCCAGAATTGTTTGAGACTTTTCTATTAGAAAGATTCCCTGATTTAAAAAAAAAAAAAAATAGAATAAAAGGAAAGAATTTTAAATGGAAAAATTTTCCCAGAAGATCTTGATTTTGCTGTACATAATTTCTATTTATTTATTGAAGAAACTGCTTGGCTGCATACTTCCTGTCAGCCTGCCTGGCAAAAAGCACGAGAGATAGTATTCTAAGGTTCACCTGACTCCAAATCCCAAGCCTGCCAGGAGAGATGCCACAGGAAACAAAATTTTCAAGGCTCCTCATCATACCAATCAATCTGGGTAGCTATAAGATCCCTGATCTTCCACAAATCGACAGCCAAGGAAGACTGAGGAGGGAACAAAAAACCCTGAATTTTCCCATGAACAATATTTTTCAGACATTTCTTTTGCCTTTTTAGCCCAGTCCTGGTGAATTAATATATGCTTATATCTACATATATGTATCTATCTACATATATAATGTTGTCTATTTATATATAAATATTACATATATGTCCATTTTATACATATATCTATATCTTTCATAGATATCCATTTTAGATATATCTCTTTCTAACACAGAAACACGCATTTATTTTTTCATTCACAAGAGGAAATGTCTATGGCTCAGGCAGTTCTAGCTCATACCATGTCATCTGTTCTATATTAGGTGGACATTTCTCCTCTCTTCTCTTTGAACTTCTGCCATCTTATACAAGAAGTCTGTCTCCAACTGATTCAGGCTTGGAGGTAGAAGTAAAACTGTGTTTTCAATGTTTTCCTGTTGTTCACAGATCATA